CTGCTGCTGCTGCTGGAATCCCGACACGTTCATCAGCTCCAGCCCCGTTCCGACGCGCCCTCTCCACGACCACGCATCCTTCTTCCGGTTCCCGGTCAACTCTATCCCCCTCCTCGCGTCCGGCCGAACCTCCAAACCAGGACTCGACCCGCTGCTCAGGCTGATCCTCTCGTTCAACTCCCAATTCATCGTCGTCGTCTTCCCAGACCTCGTCGTTTCGGCCGCCCCCTCTACTTCTGGGGGGCACAGGCCGAGCTTCCGCTTCGAATCATCTTCCCGCCCGGCCGAGACCCCTTCTTCTTCTTCGTCTTCGCCGCGCCTCGCGGTCCAACTCACCCGCTTCAAGCCTCTCGTCGAGGACAATCTTCGGGATCTCCTAATAAGCTTGCTCGACGCCCCACCGCAGGCGGATCCGCTCGCGATCACCATTTCGATCGCGGATCATTCGAGCGATGAATTCTCGAATTTTTAATTCTTGTGGGACGGGGAGGGTGTCGATAGGGGAGAGGATTTGAGTTGTTTCCAGACGTTTGGAGTGGTTTTAATAAGGAGTCTTCTCGGTTGTTGGCTGAAAAAAATTAGAATGGATGAGATTTTAATTCTTGGCTGCTTTTCGAGATGGAGAGAGTATGAAAATTGTTATCGACAAAATCGGAGGTAATTTTTGCAGAAATTTGTCTGTATTTAAAATTTTCCATTAAACGAGCGTTTGCGGTTAAAAGTTGGGAAAATTTTTGCAAAAGATTCGCGAATAATAATAGGTTTGGCGAAAGGAGAATAGGATTGTGCGAAAGAAACTTGAAATGTAAATTGAGAGACAGATGGTAACTCACGTATGAATAATACATAAGACGACTTTTCGAGTTTGTGTAATGAATTAAACAAATTTTGTAATTGTCTGCTATTCACGTTGGAATACACACAACAGTAATTCTCATAAATCACACTTCTGAAATTAATCAAACTCATTTCACGAGTAATTAAACCTTTCAAAGTTCTCGAATCGCGCAACAGTACTCGTCGTAGACTTTTAACCAAAATTGATCAAATTTATTCCCTACGCAATACTCATCGTCATTTAACGTTATATTAATCCTTCACAAACTTTCGAATCATAAATACTAATCATATAAATATTACTAACTGAATAATTAATAATTCACAAATAATTTTACCTACATTTCAACTTTTCGAATCGACAATAACGAATTTCTACAAAGAAAGCATCGTTTCCGAAATTAAAAACGAGTATAAAGCGTGAAATTTCGGACGAAAGAAAAAATTTCAAAATTTCTCGTCCGTTCGCGCGAAAGATTTTCGAACATGGAAACGATTCAATCCGAAATATTTTACGTTCTTTCGACACGAGGGAGGACTAGTGTTCTTGAAGGTGATATAAATTTTGCGGATACGGCGATAAACGGATCCCTGTCGGTGGACAGGGTCGATGGATAAATAGAAAGCAAGATACGTGATTCGAACGAGCAAACGTTTCCTCCCTTTTGTTCGCTTCCAACCACTTCTCTACGTTATATATATATATATTTCGGCCATAGTCTGCGTGAAATTGGGCAAAGGTACGCTTTCGGTCACCGATATCGCGAAGAAAATGGCGGAAATCGATTTCAGGTAAATGATGGCGCCGCTTTTGAAACGTACGAAAGGAAGAAATATTAATTAATTCGCGAAATATTTGTATCAATGAATTCGAGATGAAATCACTGGAATGATGCAAATAATTATGAAAATGTCTTTTACATATGTGCTTCCTATCGATTTTATTAAATTTTCTGAAAAATAAAAATCAATTAATCTTTCAAAGACGTGTACGCACGATACCGTTCCTTAGCAATCTTTCATCATTATAAATATATGAAGCATTGAATACAAAGAATTTTGAAATTTTCCCATTTTTTCAGGGGAAGATACGAATTTACGTTTTTTTCCTTTATCAAATATCGAGATTATATTTCTAACGAGAGTTAAAATTTAATTCGACTTTCGACAGACACACGATTAAACGCGAATAATATCTTCAAAAATCCTCAGAATACAAGACTCCATTTTCTTTTCTATTCCATCGATTTAACGAACAACGTTCATCGAAGAATCTTCTTATGGAAATCCTTTGATATCGTTAATTTGGATTACGATTTCGGCGTACAAGCAAGAATCGAGAACGATAGTTTGCGCGTGTTTGAACAGCGGCTACGATATTCGTTTCAAATATTATCGAACAAATATTCTAATGCCCGTACAATTCACCATCGATCAATTTATCGTTTTATATATATATAGTCGATTCAATATCTTCCATACCAATTTAATCTCGGATCGACGTGATAACCGTGTTATCCCTTTCAAGCATTTCGATATTTGAGACGAGATGAAAGGAAAATTTAACGAGCAGGCGGAGGATTAATCGGTCAGGGAGCAATTTTAGGAACAAAGTTCGACTTGTTCGAATGAATTTCAACGAATGAAAAAAATTACATTCGCTCGTTTATTAAATTATTCGAATACCGATCTCGTCTCCTCCGCGTTAAATAGAAAGTACGAATTTTACGTTTGGCTTCGACGCGATTAATATATGAGATATTCGTGGAGGAATGTTGAAACGAAGCGAAGCAACGTGTCCGCGTTAATAAACGCGGACGTTTCGTTTCGAATTTTCACAGATTTCCGTTTCTATCTTTCGTTTGAAAATTTCGATTGAAAATAATATAGCGAATAATGCGCGTTCGACAGTAAAGTAACGTATTTAATTTCCCTCCTCCGATCATTAAATCTTAATTACTTTCAGCTGTTTGTCAAAATGACATCACTTGGACTAAAAAATGGAATAAAATTTTATAATCGCTCGTTTAACGTTCATTTATATTGATACAAAAATTTTTTTTTTTCTAGTACCGTTTCTTTTTATTTTCTTTGTTAATCGAATAAACTTAAAATTTTCAATTTTCTAAATTGATATTTTATATTTCGATCGAGCTTCATTATTCGTTCATTTACGAAGTTAATCATTTCGATTGCTTGATATTTATAAAATTTAATAAAATATTGAATCATTTTGCCTTTCTTTCTTCACGGAAATCAAGGAATTAACAATTCTCTAAGGTCGAATTCCAGGCTACGTTTGTGATTTATTCGATATGCTCGACCTTTTTAAATAAAATTTATATAAAATATTAAATCACATCTATATTTTGCCTTCTCTTTCCATAGAAGTCAAGGAATTAACAATTCTTCAATATCGAATGATTTCAGACTACGTTTATCATTTATGCTCAACCTCTTTAAATAAAATTTGTAATAAATAAAATTTG